GAAACCAGAAGACCAAGATTTCTCTTCTCTCCCATACTCTGCCCCTCACACCAGCACAGAGTATTGAATAATCAGTCTCTACCATACGCAATATTCCACAACTACAGTACCACACATCTCCAAAATATTACTCTCTAAGATTACCTTCTAAGGCCAAGGATGGTTTTTGCCTTCGTTTGTACCTCTAACTCTAAGTATAGCGTCTGGTCCAGAGTGCTTAATAAATGTTACTCAATTGATTTCTCTTTTATTTTCCAGAGACTTCAGTTTCATTTTATTCTTTCCATCTACCTTGTTAAAGTCATTGGGTATAGTTTTTTTGGTTCTGTTTACTTTTTCAGTTAATGTTTTTACATGTTTTACATTTTCCTAACATATTCCTTATTCTTATGTTATTTTCATATCATTCACAATTTGTTTAGCCAGTCACCAAATGATGAGCATCTATTTTGTTTCCCATTCTTTGTTACCACAATACATTTTGTTATGAATATTTTGGTAATATAGGACCTTACGTTCTGTTGTTTACCTTCTTGTGGGTATATGTCTGGCAACAGGGTCTCTGGATCAAAGGACATGGACATTTTATTTACTTTCTTTGGCACAGTTCTAAATTATTTCCCAGAATGATTAGCTCAATTTACAGCACTACCAGTGGCATATGAGAGTACTTACCTTCTTGAAGTACTTCCAACAGTCATTATATCAACCTTGTAATCTTTGCCAATTTGCTGGTTATGAGGTGAAACCTTGGAATTATATTAATTTGCATTTCTCTTAAAAGTGATTTGGATACATCTTTTATACTGTTATTAATGATTTGCAGTTCTTCCACTGAGAATAGTTTGTTCATTTCCATTGACCACTCATTTATTGAGGAATGGATCTTCATCATGGAATGATGATTTAACCATGGAATGATTTAACCATGGAATTCATTACCTTTACGTCAGGTAAGTGGCATTCTTTCTCATCAGTCTTCTAATACCATGGCTAGTTATTGCATTGATCAGAGTTAAGTCTTTCAAAGTTTGTTTTTAAAATGTTGTTACAGTATAAATTGTTCGCCTGATCCTGTTCACTCTCCTCAGCTCATCTCCTCCATAGTTTCTTTCAAACTGTTGATTTCTTCCTTTGTTATAGCACAATAGTATTCCATTAGATTCAGATATACCATACCAATTGATGGTTATCATTCTTCAATCTTTAAAGTGGCTCATTTGCACTTTTCAAAGTTTGCCCTTTTCAAATTATGTATACACAATGCAAAGGAAGCATAAATAAGTGTTTTTACATATTTACTTCTTTAGTTGGTGTGAAGAAGTTCCTCAGTCAACTTGCCATACACAGGAAGGATCAGCCACACCCTTCCTGGCCTTAAAAAGCAAGAGCAAACTGAGGAATCTATGTTCTCTGCCAGTCAAGAAGAAAGCCAGGTAAACAGGAAGTACCCAGCTCTTGAGATGGAGTTGTTCTTTGCTTTTTTCCCTTGCACCTCTTCCAGGATGTAATGAGGGAAGAAGTTGTCTGGGAGATAGTCACAGTTTGAAATGATTGATTGGCAGTTGATGATGTTGAATTGGAATTCAAGAGAGAAAATGAGGCTAGGGTGAATGCTGGAGAAGAGTTCTACAGTCTATCACAGAACTTTAATTCTTTTCACTTGCTAAGAACCATCAGAGCTTGAGTTCTATTGGCTTAACAGTTGAGAACTCTGGGTAACTTTCTTGCCATGATTAGGCACTAGCGTAGATTCTAGCATTATTTGGCACTCTTTCCTGGGCTGTCCTGATTGGTAACTGAAAATTCAATCCATTATATTTGGTTGGCCCTAGACCCATGCTTCACCACCCATACTGGAATCTGCCAAGGCATGAGTCTTTACAATATGAGCATATTGTCATCAACTCTGCTGAGAAACACTTCCCCATCCCTTGCAAAACAAACACAAAACCCCAAACTGACAATAAATCTATGTTATTTTTGCTACTAGAAAGGGAATTCTAATCTACCACTCTATGATTTCATTTCCAATCCTTGCATCTACCTAGATCAAAACTCCCTTCCTTGGCAATCATTTTCTATATGTGTTACATTCCTCTATTAGCACATAAGCTCCTTAAAGGGAGGAAAATGTCTCCCTTTTGAATTTGTATTCACAGGGCCCAGCACAGAGTAGACACTTAATAAACACTTGATGACTAACATAAAGAAAATCCAAATACTAAATTGCTATGCCAAGTATCTTTTTTTTTTTTTGGAGGCAGGTGGGGTTAAATGACTTGCCTGGAGCCACACGGCTAGTAAATGTCTGCGGCTAGATTTGAACTCAGGTCCTCCTGACTTCAGGGCCACTTAGCTGTGCCTGTGTCAAATATCTTAGTGTCACATATGAAGTCATAGTAAAAACTGGAACTCAAATCACTTTAATTCTATTGTTTTATATTGTTAGCAGTCCCATTATTTGATGGCAAACTCCTTTAGGGCTGCAAACTTATACAGTGCTTTGCAATCATTCAATAAGTGTTCAAAAAATGTTGATTACTGGCTTTTCTCTCTTCTTGGTTAGTTTAAGAAAAACCAATCAAGTCTTCTTCTGCAGTTGTGATATCTACATAATAATGCATTTCTGTATCACCTTAGAGTTTAAAAAACACTTTCCTCACAATATCTGTGTGAGGCAGATAGTACAATTATTCTTGTCCTCAATTTTTAGTGGGGGGTATTGAGGTTCAATAAAGTCAAATGGCCAGCCTGTAGGCAAATATCTAGGATGTGAATCCTGGCTTTCTGGTCACAAATCCAGTATACCTTCTACTCTCTTAAGAGAAGCATGTAAAGCAAAGAAAGGCAATCTCATTAGCTGGGGTACTTCATTCTTTTTTTTATTTAATTTTTATTCATTTTTAACTTAAATACAAAAAGACAAAAAAAAGAGGACATTTCTACATGCTGATACTTCTTACAACTTTATAAAATCCCTGGACAATAGAAAATTGTCTAAATATGCAGATTCTTATCAATGGAGAGCATAAAGTCACTCTTATTCAATCAACTAATTTAAATTCATCCTTCTTCATCACTGCTGCTCCATGCATCTTGAAATGCTGGATTTTTCTGTGAATGAGATACAACCTAAAAAGGAAAGGAAAGTTCTCATTTATTTTTTTTCTTTAATTTACCATGATCAGAAGAAAGTAGTAAGTGAACTATGAGTATGCTTTAACTGCTAACACAAAAGATGAAGTTGATAAAGAAGATTCCCTAATTCAAAAGCAAGTTAAACTGTTAAAGAGAAAATTTACACAGGCATAAAAAGTAGTTATAAGCAAGAGATGAGACTATCAAGTGATATGGCTTATTTTAAAAAATACACACACCAAAACTTATAAAATGATTAATGTCCCTTCAGAGTTACCCCCTTGGAAATTAAGATCATGCTCATTTCAATGATGCTGTTATAGCTCAAAATATCTGTGGAGCTCCTCTTATACACATCTCATTATGGCCTTTGGATTGTCCTCAAGGGAGAGGGATCCCCCTTGTGAGAGAGTAGATATGACCTTTGGAAATTGGCAAAAGTAATTTGCTGCCTCATTGGGTGAATCAAGACTGTCAAGCCAGGAAATACTGTTTTTGGTAAAAACAAATAAACAAAAGAAAAAAAGCAGAGTATGACTTAAATATAATGAACATTGGAGTTGGAGGATCTGAGTTCAAATCTGACCTCTTATACTTCTTGAGTGATCTCACACAAGTTACTTAACCTCCCTGTGGGATCCAGTTTCTTTGTCTATAAAATGAAGTTGGGCTAAGATGGCCTTTGAGATCCCTTCCATCCCTAGCCTTGTCACCCTAAGATCCAATTCGCAAAAAAAAAAAAAAAAGAAAAAGATTCCTCTCCCCATATATCCTCCCTAAACAAATTTGAAAGGGCAGCTAGGTGGTGCAGTGGATAGAGTTCCAGACTTGGAGTCAGGAAGACTCATCTTTCTGTGTTCAAATCTGGCCTCAGACACTTACTAGCTGTGTGACCCTGGGCAAGTCACTTAACCCTGTTTGCTTCAGTTTCCTCATCTGAAGAAGGAAATGGCACAAGGCACATCCATCATTTCAGTATTTTTGCCAAGAAAAACCCAAATGGGGTCAGGAAGAATCAGACACATCTGGCAAATGACTGAACAACAACAACAAAGACAAATTTGAAGGACAAGGTTTATGTGGAAATAAAAGGTCTAGACTGAAAAACGACTAAACAAAAAAAAAAAGTCTAGAAGATCTGTCATCTCTATTTCCATGGTCATCAACATGAGAGAATAAACCCTCATTATCACGTGCTTGGGTTCATAATCACCTCAGTTAGTCTGCCTTAACTTGGTCCTCTCAAGGCTATGTTCACAAAATGACCAGACTCATTTTCCGCCTGCCCAGATATGGCTGGGTGATTCCATTGTTCACAAATCTTTAGTGGGTTCTTGCTACCTACCAAGTGAAGTTCAAACTCTTCTGCCTAGTACTCAGTGTTCTCCGCCACTTATCACCTTTCCTTTCCAGTCTTATCTCTTATTTCCTTCCATATATGCTACCCTCTGGTCAAACGGGACCACTCTCGGTCCCCAAACACTGCCCGTATTCTCCCTCTGCGCCTTTTGTTTGTGGTCTTCCTCCCCACACCCACCTTTTCATACTTGTTTAAATGCCTTTAAAGTCTAGTTCAAATACTCCCACTCCCACTTCCTCCTCCCCCAATCCCCCAATTTCCAACATATGTTAACAATCTGCTGACTTGGGCCCAACAGATAGCACTTTGTTTTGGAATTCTCATAAGTATTGATCATATGATACTGTGTTTTATAATGATTTGGGTTAATTTCTTAACCCTGTACAATAATCATCCCTTCCTTCATGATATTCTTTCCACCAAGCTTCAGACCTATACTGATAGATGCTGTTTTGGAGGCTATTGAAAAAATCGGTTCCTTTTGGCTCATGATTGCCCTCAACCAGAGTTTTAGGTAAAACATTAGAATAAAGAGCACTACATAAATGTGCATTTTTAATAATAATATTAACAAAAGCATTCTACACATATATGTAATACAAAATCCAAAGCTTGGTGAACATTGGAAAGAACATGGGCTCTGAAGTCAGAGGATCTACTTTACAATCCTACCTCTGAGCCTTACTTATTACTTGTGGGACAAGGAGAAAGTCACTTGACTTTTTTTTTTTTAAGTTTAATAGTATTTTGTTTCCCCTCATTACATGTCAAGAAAATTTTTAGCATTCATTTTTACAAGATTTTGAGTTCTAACTTTTTTCCCTCTCTCCCTCCTCTCTCCTCTTCTGAAAGTGGTAGGCAGTTTGATACTGTTTATACATGTGCTATCATGTAAAAATATTTCCATATTAGTCACAGTAAAGAAGAAACAGATCAAAAGGAAAAAAAGAACATGAAGTAAATGAAAAAAAAAGTATGCTGTGATCTGCATTCAGAGTCCATTAATTCTTTATCTGGATTTGGACAGCATTTTCATGAGTCCTTTGTACTGTCTTTGTACTGTCTTGACTTATTGTGTTGCTGAGAAGAGCTGAATCATTCATAGTTGGTCATCACACAATGTTGCTGATGCTCATTTCACTTTGCATCAGTTCATACAAATCTTTCCAGGATTTTCTGAAATCTGCCTGTTCATGATTTCTTATTGCAGAATGGTATTCCATTACATTCATATACCACAGCTTGTTCAGCCACTCCTCAGTTGATGGGTATCCCCTCAATTTCCAATATTTTGCCACCATGAAAAGGGCTGCTCTAAATATTTTTTGTACATGTGGGTCCTTTTCCCTTTTTTATGATCTCTTTGGGATACAGACCTAGTAGTGGAATTGCTGGATCAAAGGGTATGCACAGTTAGGTTGCTCTTCAGGCATAGTTCCAAATTGCTCTCCAGAATGGCTTGATCAGTTTACAACACCACCAAAAATCAGTATTCCAATTTTCCCACATCCTCTCCAACATTTATCATTTTCCTTTATTGTCATATTAGTCAATCTGATAGGTGTGAAGTGCTATCTCAGAGTTGTTTTAATTTGCATTCCTGTAATCAGAAGTGATTTAGAGTACTTCTTATGCCTATAGATAACTTCGATTTTTTCATCTGAAAACTGCCTGTTCATATCCTCTGAACATTTATCAATTGGGAATGGCTGATGTTCTCATAAATTTGACTCAGTTTTCTATATATTTGAGAGATGGGGCCTTTATCAGAGACACTTGCTGTTAAGATTGTTTCCCATCTTTCTGCTCTCCTTCTAATCTTGGGTGCATTGGTTTTGTTTGTACAAAAGCTTTTTAATTTAATATAATCAGAATTATCTATTTTACATTTTGTAATGCTCTCTGTCTCGTGTTTAGTCGTGAATTCTTCCCGCCCCGATAGACCTGAGAGGCAGACTATTTCTTGCTCTTCTAATTTGCTTAGGGCGTCATCCTTTATGTCTAAGTCATGCACCCAGCTGCCTGACTTCTTCAGGCCTCAGTTTCCTTCTCTGCCTAATTGAAGGGATAGGATGGCCTTTGATGTTCCTTCTAGCTCTAGGTCTGTGATACTATGCATTTGTAGGTTGTTTGGCCTCTTTCCCTTCTCCTTTAATAAAATCTCCAATAAATTACTAATTTCTGGCAGGTCTGAGAGGTTAGCAAAAAAGGTGATATGATCTGCTATTCATGTAGAGACTCTTATTTGTATAATTAAAATGAGTCAGGATTAACGATGGATACCTTTTTTCCCTTTCTTTTTATCATTATAAAAATTTAGCTACTTTGTCCCTCTTCCTATCCCCTATCACACATAAATAAATACATGAAAGCCCAACACCTCCATAAAAGATTTGTGGGCAGAGATCGCAAATTCTAGAAGGCAGAGATTGTGTCCTTAGACATTGTTAAATAGTATCTTAATTTTAAACTGCTAATTAAAAAGCATGGGGAATTGTTTACTTTTCAGAGGTCTTGGGCATTATTGTCAGAAAGCATCTAGAATATTCAGTCCTGTCAACATCTTTGTGATAAGGTGTATATGGATACACGTAGTTAAATAATTCTACATGTGACTATCTTTTAGGTGAATTTTTACTTCAGAGAATTCATTAATGCAATCTAAAGCTAAAAACTATAGAAATCCCTTTACCACTTCAATTTTAAAGTGCAATTTCTACCATCAGTACAGATATCACCTGATTTACAAAGTTGAAATGTTAGCAATCTCAAACATCATGATTTCATGTCACTGAAAAAATACTGTCCCTTTACAATACAGATAAATAGTGTATTTGTTACATACACTCTCCTAATTTCAACGGGCATTTGCTCAATGCCGGAAATAAATTTAATTAATTTTCTGCTTCTTTTACCAACTAGACCTCATTCGGCCAACTTGAAGAGGGCATGGACAAGATTTATAGAGGATGAGGAGGCTGGGATGGCTTTCTATCTGCATCATTAGAGGGAACTTCAAATGGATGACATTACAGATCCATTTGAGAACTGGGAGCTTCTTCCTTCTGGCATCTTAATTTTTTTAAGGTGGAAATTGAGGTTTGTGAAAGTTTCTGAGCAGATTTAAAGTAGGCAGATGGTTCTGTTCTTACCTTTGTGGTGAAAAGTGTAGCCCAAAGAGATTGGGGTGATGATACATGTAAAACGATGGGGCTACTGAATGTGGGTAGAGCCAACCAATGGTAAAATTCTCCTATAGGTCTAAACAGTTTTGGAATTTATATATAATCTTGAAAGTGGAGCCCTGTGTAGATGGCCTTTTCTTTATACATACCTATATGACATGCATATTCTTATAATGCCTGCACCCATAGGAATCTTTCAAAGAAAAATCACTAATGGACATAACTCTAATTCATTTTAATATAATATGACATATGACAATGAAAGTTACTACGAAGTTACATTCTAATCGGAATAATTTACAAGGGGACTGTGTTTTCATGTCTAAACTGAAAGCCATTGAGTATGACTTGTTTTATTTTTCCTCTATTCTATACTCTGTTTGTTTTGCTTTATTTCTGCTGTTGCTGTAAATGAAATGTCTTCAAGTAAGCACTAGAAAAGGGGTTTT